AATGGTAACTTACCGATGGTAGCTTACCAATGGTAACTTGCCAATGGTAGCTTACCAATGGTAACTTACCAATGGTAACTTGTCAATGGTAAGCTTATAGGTGATGAGGACAAGAAGCTTCTGCAATGCGAGTCACAAAATTAAACATAGAACTGCATTTATTTCTCCAAGTGTTTCTGGTTTATTAATATTAGGCCAACCAAAATAATAGCAATGCTTCCTATTACGTTGAAAAAAAATAGGTTGGGTAGGTGGGTAGTATCTTGTTTCATCGAAAGTTTTTGGGTCAAAAAGTTCAGGCTCAGAATTTTTCTTAATTGAAAAGTTATTTTGATGGTCTGCGGTGTATTTCATCCACTTTTTTTTTCTGCGGATTCATAACTTGAGGATCGGTCCTGTCAAAGATTGTATACAAGTCAGAGCCTCTTCAAACAATTATACATTTGTGTTGCAGTGAAATTTCGCTAAGTTAATATCCAAACGTTGTTTGAAAGCTCGTACAAAACGTCATACACATATAACTTTGCGCATCCCGCCGGCGCCAGTCGTCACGAAACTCTCCATCGCCGAAAGCGAGAATGTACTTATCTTATTTCAAGTCGTAAATTCACAGTGAAATGCGTGCTACTGCAAGTAACAGCGGAGATTGTTAGTCACTACTTGCACTCACACATGAACGGCTGAAATAAGTCTCACTGACACATGTATGAATATTGATGTTTTGTGGACAGCCAATCACAACACAATCACCGATGGTCCCAAGAAGGCTTGCGCTCGCGCTTCGAGTCCAGTATGTAGTACGTGTATACACGTGCGCACGTACGCGCATATAAACATGCACATGTACTGTACATGTACATGTATGCTGTACATGTAGAATCAGTCTAGTAGTGCGCATAACAGAGCTTCAGAAGATACTACCGCGTAAAAAAATCGGCGCTTACGCAAGGAAGGAAAACCTTTTTGGTTTAACAAACGACAGGATAAAGTCCGATATGCATCCAATTTTCTCATGACACCGAGATCGGTGTGAAAGTTTGGCCGCGCCGTTACATCCACGATACATGCCCGACTGTCACTTTTGTTTTCTACTGCCAGATACGTCATGTACATGTACGTTCGGCGAGTTATCAGTGATGCTTAAACCCAACCAAACTATTTCTTGCAAGAGTAATCAGTAAAGGCGACATTACAAATATAAAGCTATACATTTCAACTTTTTAAGGCCTAATTTTATTTTCTACTTACTGCACATTTTGTCAATATCGCGATTCACATTTTAGAATCGCGATTATCGATGCATCGGTGAACCGTTACACCCCTAGTCATACATGTTTCCCATCCTATGTATTGCACAATTCTGAGTCTAATCAGTTTATTTCATCTCTCATGAGGAAATATCAAGAACTGTATGCTCAGGGTCCTACGAATTCAAAAGCAGTGCCTATTTGCCAAGTTGAGAGGAAAATAAACGTTATTATAAAAATTATTTTGATGGTCTGCAGTGCATTCTATCCACATTTTTTCTGCAGATTCATAACTTGAGGATCGGTCCTGTCAAAGATTGTATCCAAGACAGAGCCTCTTCAAACAATTATACAATTGTGTTGCAGTGACATTTCGATAAGTTAATATCCAAAAATTGTTTGAAAGCTCGTACAAAATATCACACACCTAATGCATGATGTTGGCCTTATGGTGTGTTGGACATCAGACTCATAGCACTTTATTACATGTTGGTTTCACTCATGCCCCGTGATGATTTATTATTAGAACATGTTGATGTGTTTCATTAGGATGTCAAATGAAACGAAGCAGCATGTTACCAAATGTTAAAGAATGAAAAACAGTCTGATCACCTTGGTCAAATCACTGAAAATATCTCAATTTTCATCCTAGTAATATTATAAAGTCAAGGAGGACCTAAGATCCCTCTGGAAAAAGAACAGTAACGCTGAAATATGACTCATCAAACTTTTTCATGCAGACATGCTATGACATTTTTCTTAACCAGAAAGGAGATCAGCATGGTTCACATGAACATGTCATCAAATCCTGGTGGGGGCTCATGGTCAGGGTCTGGTTCGCCGCGGTATCTCCCCTGCGGATTGGGAAGACCCCCGTCTGGGTTTGGTGGACCAACGGGATCAAACCTAGCACCCGGAGGAACTGCACCCCTGCAGACCAAAAAGAAAGCAAATCTTGTCAAGGCAAGCAAGCCAGAGAAACACAACAACCCACAGGACAGCACTTTTTTAAGTTGGTCTATACTTTTGCCTAGTTGCTAGTTGGTCAATAGAGGGCGGTATATATGATTAATAGCGTACCATTTACTGAGCTAAGCAATGAAGCAATCATTGCACTATTCAAACCTATTTGACTATGCCACTGAAAAATGTGACACTGCCGCAAAGACAAGATGGACAATGTTCCGTACTAGGTATCCAAGGGGAGGAACAAGTCCATATTGAAATAGGAAGGCACTCTTTGGTTTGGGTAAAATCTTTTGTGTTTCCTTTAAATTTCCCCACTTCAAATAGCACCCCCTTACTGAATCAGCCATGCTTCAAAAGGGCTTACTGTTAGGTGGCAGTGTTGGCTTTTCTACCAGAAGTTGCTTCATTTTACCAAAATTTGCACTCTTATTAAGAGTACTTACAACTTTGCCTTTTCCAAAAAGCCATTTGCAAGTTAAATTTGAATAAAATCTGGTACACTGAGTTATCTGATAGCACATAAACATAACGATTTGAATTCCCCAGACTAACGACACTGTTGCTATGATTCGGGCAAGCTTTTGCAGAGCGACCACCATCTCTGGAATGGACTGGTTCCTTTGTGCCCTTCTTATCCATTGAGAACAGTGTATTGTTGCACGGCGTCTCTTATGTAACTAAGCAAAAGCTTGCCCCGAATCACGAGGTATAGCAACAGTGGTTTTTGTATTGAAAATTAAAGTTGTTATGATTAAGTGAATTTAAAGAACTCAGTGTAACAGATTTGGGTCAAAGTTAACTTGCAAAAGGCTTATTTACTTGCCTCGGTAATCTTCCAGGCATTCCAAGTCCTCCCCTATACCCTCCAGGGTAACCTGGCTGGGGAAAGCCTGACCTTGTAGGATCCATCAACATACCAGGTGGAGCTCTGCTAAATGGATCCAAATCACCCTCACCAACAACGAAAGGATTTCTTGGTTGTCCCCTGGAAAGAGAATGGAAAAGTCAAGTTCTTTAAGTCAATGCTGAGCCACACACAAGAAAAGCACACTACGGAGTTCTAGAAGTGCCTTCCAATTGTCTGAGATCTTGATAGGGCTAAGTCAATTTGAATAATTCACTATTTGAATATTCGACTGTCAAGTCAATCGAATATCCAAATGTTCAATATAAGCAATAACACACACAATTGTACATTATAATCGCTATAATAGCTTCTCACGTCTAGGAGTATCTCTAGCCAGGATTTAGCAAGATTTAAGAGATGAACAATACTTCTTGCCCTGCTGAAAGTTTCTGTTCCTTTTACATTTTTGATGAATAATTTACTTTTTGAATCGTTGTAAGATTCCTGTTGCTTTTCATTTGAATCTGCTTGAAACAAACCTCCATAAGGCAATTTTTCTCATTTAAAGCAAGAGAACATTGTCCCTTTTCATGAATTTTGCATTAGAATAGGATGATGACATCCTGAAAATAAGATGACAACATCCTGAAATAATTTATCATGACAATTGTAGAAGTAACTGATAAATTATTCCAGGATATCGACTATCGTCATGCTATGTATCTAAAGATGCTTTCCATTCTTTTCAGGATGCCATTTTTCTGGGCTAGGTTATCTCAGATTTTGCCGTTTTATTTTTAGGATGTCATAATCCTGTGATAAACTACAAAGTCAACTTCTAAAATATTTAATGTAGATACAAATGTTATTGATCTAAGCACTGACCTTTTGAGTCCCCCCCCAAAAAAAACATAAAACGAAAGGTGTTTGCGTTAAGAAGTTTGGATTTATAACTTTGATATGGTGCAGCAGAATACTTTGAAAATATACAGTACTTTCTGAAACACCGGGCCCTATGCATCAACAGTTTGTACCAGAATTTATCTGTCAGCTTTTGTCACACATTACAAATGAATTATATTTAAGATGTATTAAGTATCACTCCAAACTGCATTTATACAACATCCAACCAAAAGCAAATCATATGTAAGAAGTTAATGGAAAAATTAATTCTCAATTGATAAGAATGTCTACACTTTGTGAAATACTGACCAATCTGGTCTGCCATCTTGATTAGGTTGTCTCCTTGGTATTCTGAGGGGATCTGTGTCATCCTCCTGACTCCTTGTGCTCTGCTGCGATGGTGTGTCTCTGGGGCTCTGGCGAGATGTAGAGTTTGTTTCTTTCAGTTTGTCCATCAGTTCTGATTTGAATTCTTGCTGAAGTTTGTCAATATTCTTAAACATTCTAGGAAAAATATTGATGTTAAGACAGAGAGTAAGAGATAGTCTATCATAAGTCAAATACATCAGTCCTGTAACAAACAACTGAAAAAAGGATGCCTTTTACAAAGTTCATTTGAATACATGTAGTTTTACAAAACTTGAGAGAGTGTGACTTATTAGGGATTTTTGATGAATTCAATAAGGAAAGATTCAGTAAAATTGTCAAGACATTGCTTAATCAGAAAGGGACTTTTGGAAGTTGTACAATGTACAAGTATGTTCAGAGCGACTGCACGCTGCCCCCTTCAATCTGACAATGTCTGTCATCTACGTATGTTTATTAGTGGAAAATATATCAGAATTTCCCAACCTTAACTAAGAGCACACAATAACGCACATCCTCATTCATCCTTCAAGGCTTTTGGTGTCAAAATGGGATGACCTGAACACCTTAATCACACACTTTGATTAATTTACTATAGCCTCCCACAGGTGAAGATTTGGCCTATGGATGACTATCATATAAGTTGGCCTTGTAAGTTTCAACATGGAGTTTAAATAAACAGCAGTCTATCACTGAGTTGGTCCTGTTGATCAATACTTCCCACCTGTTAAAATCTCCCAAGTTGTCCACTTCCACATATTCCGATGTTTCCAATGACAGATTGGATACTCTCTCATCTTTTTCTCTCTGAGAGGCACAAAACCAAAAAAAGCTAAGGGTGAAAATGTGATGGAGTGACGCACCATGCTTCCAAGCCTGTGATTTTTTGGGCAAATCTGGCGATACCTGGTAAAATGAACGATTATGCATGTACAACACAGACAAGAATGATCTGTACCAGAAGATGGACTAGCAATGTGTCGTCCATTCGTATGACCTTCAGCAGGTAGAAGTCAGTTCCTTCAATTGGTTGATACCTTAGCGTGTAAACATCACAAGTTCCCTCATTCCACGCACTAGGAAGAAGCTCACTCTTTTGGCCACTTGCCTACAAGAAGAAGTTAAGAGAAGACATGACTGATTTTTTCCCCTATAGTCAGTGTAGTATGATGAGCATGATGTGAGTCAGTGTACAAAAGGAAAATTGGTGGACGAAGAGAAATCTAGCAGAGGGGACGCAACAATGACAACCATAAGATGTGTGACTTTTCAGCACTTTTACAACTAACCTAACAGGGCAGGAGTTTCTTCTTTAAGTGGCTATGACTTCAGCTAATGATTACATCTCTATTCTCAAACATTCTAAAAATCCAGAATATTTTAGACCAGAATTCTAAAATCTGGCAGATCTTATGAAATCACACCATGACCGAGAACTGCTTCTATCTGGACCTGGTTACATTTCTTCTGCCTGCTGTGACTCAGATGAATTCTTCAAGGTAACTGCATCTGGGTTTTCCCCAGCCGTATACATTACATCACTCAGAAGTATTATTATTACCCTGGGCCCTTTTCTTGCATACTGCCCTCTTTCAGGGAATGCTGGTGGTATGAACAGTGTCATTTATGCCCACATTTATGCACCTCTACAGTGTATAATTAGTACCCACATTTGGGGTACAATGTTTCATAACAGCATGACTTGCAATGTTAGGCTCAATCTCGAACCTTACGCAAATTGACTGTACTCCATCCTGAGTTGAGTTGTCTTTGAATAACATCCATTCATAGGATCATCAACTCAGGAGGGAGAACAAAGAATTTGTGCAAGGTTCCAAATTGCCTTTAAGGGTAGCTGCAATCTATTTGTTTTGATACACGCCTTCAAACTGCACTTTTGTGTCTCAGTTCACCTCATTTGCAACTTTTGTTTCACTACTTCAAAGGGTAGTTTACTGATTTATGGGGTTTTATGCTAATGCATATTTCCATATTCAAGAGCAAAACTGTGATGTCATTTCAGGAAGAAGCCTTAACGTTACACTGGTTTGTACACAAAAGTCCTGCCTTTTTGTAGATTTTGCTGGACTCTGTTTTCACTTCTTTGCTGATTTATTGCTGTTTATGTGCACAGCAATAAGCAAACATCAATGTCCTTTTCAGAAATGTTTTCAGTAAGTAAATCTGGGTTCACAATTTGAACAGAAAAGCCAATGAACTGAACTATGTCTTCCCTAGATGACTTCTCGCAGTAACAGCTCCCTAAGTTGTCCAGGAAAGCATGGAACAATCACGGATAATTTTAATTGTTTAAAAAGTTCACTTTTCAATGCATTTAACTAAACAGGAATGCAACAGAATTTTCATGCACTGAAAAAGAATACAAAGTTGAAGAAAAATCTTGTCTAAGAAAAAGTCATTGCAGTTACACTTAATAGCAGCATTGTTGCAGACGGGATGACGTCACTGAGTTTTGATTCTTCTCTCTGATTGGTCAATTGGTGGCTATTCCATATTTCACACTTGAAACTCAAAGGGGCAAAAATAATGTTAAAATGGGGAAAACTGAATTATTGAATAAACTCTTAACCTTTACGTCAAATACATGTATGCCTGAAACTTCACTATTTATGAACTATGAATATCTCCCACACTGTACAGCAAAGGTTTCAGTTATCGGCATTCATTACCTTCAGCATCCTGTTCCTATGATAAGGAAACAAAGTCCACTTTTTCAAACTAGGCTTGACTAACATTTTGACCTTAAGGAACCATTACTCAATCCTGATAGGCATAGTTAAGGTAAATTTTGACAATATTTATAAGCAAGAAAACTTCAAATTTCTAACCCGAGTTTGGCAAAAGACAACCACTCAGTCGAAACATGCCATTTTGTTTTTCATCTGGTTACCCGACTCAGGCAATCTTGATTCATCCAAAGAAATCACCATCCAGGTCGAGGAACCAGACTACATTCGCTCATTTGTTGTTCACAGCTCTTCAGGGCAGTTGTGGATGTTACGCCCCAACTATAGCAGTCCCAACTGTAGTGCTGCAGTTGGGCTGGCCCAACTATTATTGTCCAATGTGGGAAATGTCTCAACATTACCCAAGTCAATGTGTCTCACGCTTGACACAATTCATCTAAAATGTGACACTTCATCTGTTCATCTAGCCCTATGACCAATGACATGACATTTGTAAACAATATGACTTTGGCACATGCTGGGCACATCATGCATGCAGGACCTCTCTGCTGTAGTTGGGCCGGCCCAACTGTAGCACTCTAGTTGGGACGTGCCCAACTATAGTAAGGCCTGTGTTGGGACTTATGCTATAGTTGGGGCGTAACATGTACACTGCTGTTTTACCCCCAAATTTCCCTCAAAACCCAGAAGCACTGTTCTCTTTTCTTTCTGATATGAAGACATCACCAATAACAAGTTTAGATAAGTTGTTTTAACAAAGTAGAATTCGTTCCCTTAACCCCCAGTTATCTTTATCATGTTGCAGCAAAAAAGGAGGAAACATGCAAATCCCTGTACAAAGTGAATGGAGAGTTGCCCGTTTGCACAGACGTGAGTGCAATAAATTTCCGACCTCGAGAATGATTGGGCAACGGAATGTAGGGACTTTCCACTGCTCATCGGCAGCACGTTACCGCCTCTTAAAATTTCTTACCCCCATGCCCATGTTACTGCTTACCTCTTCTCCCAAACCAACACATTTGAATCCACTGTGCACCATATTCCAGTGCAAACAACAAACAAGGGCATCATATTGCGATCTAATCTGATTTTTCACGCTGGTGTAGAGAAGTTCGAGACCACAGCCAGTAGATACCTGTAGGGAGACTGCCATGTTTGTTATGTTCGAGGCAGGGGTCATGGGGTCACGGGCGCGCTGCCAAGGCCAATCAATCGCGCATATACACAGACGTAGACATCCATTGCTGACAAGGCACACACATTACATGTCGGGACCAATATTCCTCAAAAGTCTTCAAACCTGACACAGTTTGTTACTTTATATCGCATATTTCAATGTGACGAATCTGCACGACATGTTTTAACTGAATAATAAGCAGAAATCTTCAATATAGGAATGCAAAATTATATGACTCCCCCGGGCCCGCTACATTAGTTTGTTTGGGGATGAGACTTTTTCTAAAACTATGGCTTTATCTATTCGACTTCACTTTTAGCATGAAAATGCTACATATGTCACATAAATTCAAGTATTTTTGTCTGCAATTTGAACTATTCTGAAAAAATTCTTCTATTTGGGGCACGGAGGGGAGAAAAGGCCTGTAAGCCCCCGTTAGCAATACAAAATTTAAAAAAAAAATCTTTTAAGTTCAAAGGTCATCAGGCACGCTTGTGTCGTCGTTGCATACTGATCTAGTGCATGTGGATAGTGCGTACATGTACACTGTACATTGAATCGAACCAATCAAAAGACGTTATAACATTGCTCGTGCTCATCTCAGCGTTCGAACTCACGCGTGATGTCGAGTGTACATGGTACCGTATCTACGGCGGGACGGCGAGAGCACTGCCGTACTTCAAAAACTTCTGGAAAATACTGATCAGGAGGGACCAAGCAATGAGCTCTGTACATGTATATGTTAAACCAAGGATTTTGCCACAAGCTATCTAGCTCACTTGCAACTTGATTGTCTAATCCTGTGGGAGAAAAAATGGCTCAGAATTCACATGACTTGCGGAACCACAAGTCGAGTCGAAACTCCGGGACGTCGAGCTCACGGAAGAAAAGCAAGCGGGAGCGTGGATGGGGTATTGGCCTGCACTGCTCGGCCGAGTTCTGCCGGGGTGTGGTGGCAGAGTGTCTCGGTACATTCTTCTTTATGATCGTTGCTTGTACAGCCGATCTACAATGGGACTCTTCGGTTAGGGTGGACGTCTTGAGGTTGAGTTTTACGCTGGGATTAGCTGGTAGGTTCAATTAATCAATCTCGTTTATTTCTCCACATAGCCTAGCCTACCGGTACGTGACATAACAGTAGGGTAAATATCACAGATTTACAGCAATAAATGTGGATGGGGACCTCCAAAAAGCAGAGCTTGTCTAGTAGTGGCCCCCAGAAATCAGATTAAATAACAACTACAAATACAGACATATTCACACTTATCCAAAAATATACCGCATATTTACATTACATGTAATCATAGGCCTTGCAGAAATTACAAAGGACAGAACATAACCATTAAAACCCGTGAATAAATGATTAATTTGCAGGTAACTATTCAGTAGGCTACGTGATTTTTACATTTGTGTTTGAATAAGGATAGACTGCAAATATTTTTTAAAGAGAGATCCAGTGAGTTCCATAGTGATGAATATTTATATTTTTGTGAACATTGAGCAGATAGATTTCGGGAGTTAGGAATTAAATATACATGTATTAAGTTGATGCTTTAACATAGCTAGTTGGTATAAGAAAATATCACCAATTTTCAACACTTTGCATTTATAAAAAAGAGGATCACAATGTTCATAAAACATTGCTGAATAACTTATTCGCAAACCCCTTTTTGAGGTTTAAGTTCTCTATTTATCAGGCCAGAAACTATGTAGGTAACTAATATGCGTTTTCCTGGATTTATTATCAATATAAAGACCCAGGACTTTAACGCAGTCAGTCTGGGTGATTTTTGTAATGTCAATAAGAATGTCTAATTTAAATGGGTGCTTTTTCTACAAAATATCATAACATTAGTTTTCTGTAAGTTAAGAGTTAGTTTGCTTCAATCCAGGTTGACACTTTGCATAGTTCATAATTAACAACATCAGAAAGTGTATTTGGGTCATTATGACTGTGAAACAGGTGGCAGTCATCAGAAAAGAGAATGAACAAAAGTAAATCAGGATTTTTTAAGATCATTAATGTTCACAGTGAATAGGAGCAGCCCTAGTACGGATCCCTGAGGTACGCCAAGTGAGATGTTAAAATAGGAGGAGGTGGTATCATTTATCTTGACAAATTGTTTTCGATTACATAGGTAGCTCCTAAACCACTCCAAGGCAACTCCCCTGATGCCATAATAATGTAATTTAAAAGGAAGTGTGTCATGGTTAAGGGTGTCAAAGGCCTTGGAGAGGTCTAGAAATATACCAATAGTAGAAGCTGATACGTCCAGATCATTTGTGATCTTGTCTAATTTACTTCATTACTTAATTATGGCATGTAAAGTTGAATGATTTTCTCAAAATTATTTGAAATTAGGTCATTTCTATCTGAAAAATCCAGCGTATGCTTATAAATCACACGTTCCAGGACTTTTAAAAAGGACATAAGGATAGAAATTGGTCTATAATTATTAACAAAAAGAGGGCTACTATTCTTGAAGAGTGGGGTCACCTTCGCAATCTTTATATCCTCAGGGACTGCATCAGTGTAGATAGATAAATTGATGACAAATATCAGTGGCTGAGAGATAGCGTGGATCACAGTTTTCAACAATGTACAATCAATTTGATCAACTTCTCCACTTTTTTTTTAGGTAATTTACTATCTATATCAATGATCTCTCCTTCTGTAGCTGGTGAAAAAAGGCACTATTTGGGTTGGGATTGTTTCTAAGAAAAGTTACAGAATTAGGAGGAATTTGATCTCAGAGATTTTTACCAACAGTAGAAAATTAGTTATTAAAGTGATTAACTATAAATTCTAGATTATTCACAGATTTTCCTTCAGTTTCAATTGATTTAATTGTGGGGACCCCCATTTTAATCTTGTAAAACAGGCCAGCCCCAGAAAAAGCCAAAGGCAATGCTCTCTTTATGGTGTTGGTTACCTTTAACACTCTGTTCCTATAATATGGAAATAAAGTCTACCTTTTCCAAACAACTTGCCGGTACCTAGATGAGTTGGTGGTGATGTACACGTACTCTTTCATATCAGAAAGAAAAGAGGTCAGGGCTTTGGTTTGTGAGGGAAATTAGGCCTATAGGGCAAAATGGCAGTGTTCATGATGTGATAAAGAGCTGTAAATGAAGCCGAATATTCAAAAGCAGATAATAACTATATGCCAATACAAGCACACATAGATTTTTTGCAGTTTTATTATCGTAGAGTTATTGGCTGCATCCGAATCTGTTGTCTAGAGCTACATGTAGGTCTAGGACTTCACTCCATAGGATTTACATTGAGACACCAAGCTTGTTTCGGACACGGCCTTAGTTTGCTTCATGTTGAGATTGCAATGTCCATACAGGGCCTGTTCCTAACGTCTGGTGTTCACAGTAAGTGGCGAATTAAGAGATGTGGCATCTATACGGTCATGCATATTAGTCCCAGAAGCTAAATGTACATTGTAGAACATTTGCACATACATTTTTTCAATATTTTAGACAATCAAGAGCTACATGTCCCTTTAAATTTAAAATGGTAAAGGTTCTGTATATTGACATTACTAATATTTCCTTAAGCGGTATATTAGCCATCAAGAAGTTACACATGTCCTAAAATGTCAAATTTTGCAGGGAAGATGTCAAAGTGTTTACTTTTAAGATACAATTTTCAGACCAGTCTCATGGGGTTTTTGCATTGGTTGTCAAGTGATTTCCATGTATGGAACTTGTTCCAAGTACCAAAAATAATGCTGTGAATTGCAAGCTAGTACAAATTTGCCACTGGATTTCAAAGACACTTTAATTCTTAAGTTTAGGGTACATGTATGTACTACATGTAGGTGTAAAGTGTCGGGTTTTAAAATTTGTACGAACTTTTTTGGTCATTCAAAATGCATTGCTACCGGTACATGTGGCAATACTGCAGTTTCTCAATGGCTTGGAATAGATGTGCAGATATATGAAGAATTCATTTGTATTCAAATTATGAAACCACGTTAAATCTCCATTCAAAAGATTCAGTCGACAAAGGACTTTTGAATGGTGAAGGAGCTTTTATTGATATTCAATAACACATTCATAACTTATAAGGCACAGCGACACACGCAGTTCTGCCCTGCGGGTAAGCGTTGTATTCCATCGTTTTACCACAAAGTATAAGTTGTCCTTGTATCAACATTTTTACACTGTGTGGATTGAACTTTGAAGTCTCCAACTCGGGTTTTCCATTTAGCTGGAATCCAATTACCACCACTGGCTAACCGCTGAACTTTGGTGGGGTAGATGCCTGTTGATATGGTAATGAGAGATTTATTGTGGCGAATAAAGATTAGTATGCCTTCAAGAAAGGATAGAGGGTTTGAAAGAAAAAGTACAGAACTGGTCAGAGGATTAACATCAATGCTGCGTAAGTACCGGTACATGTACATGTACGCCTAGTTCCTGTAAGACAAGTTTACATCATCACACATTATTATAGAGACTGATATGCATTTTGCAAATTTACTTAAAACAACATGCAGTTATGATAGCAAGACATAAACAACAAGCAAATGAACAAAATATCAAGAGATCCTCGCTGACGAACCAGGATAACTTGATCTGCTCTTCAGCTTATGAAATTCTCTGAAATTTTCATACATGGATGCGTGTGGCGAATTGGGTTCTCAGGCACTGGTACATGTATTTCATAAACCAAATTTGAAATTTCATTTCAGAATTTCAATAGTTGTTATTCTCCTCCAATTTCTGCTTTAGAGACTGAAGGAGAACCATGTGATTTGACATGTTATTTACATGTACCAGTACATATATGAGACAAGACTTGCATGGCAGTAGATGAATGTCCCAATTTTATATTTTGAGGTGGACGAGCTTTATCTGATAGCATGACATGTTGAGGCATGTTTCTGGTACTGGATATGTCTGCTAATACTTTTAGGTCATGCAAACTCAGTCTATTTTCTTTGCTATTTGATGTTCAGGACTATCAACATTGTTTACAATCCCCAGGTTTACCCACGTCATAAAATAAAGCCAGCTTTTCAGTTCGATAATTCCAAGTCTGTATATTTTTTATTTCTTCCAAGTTATGACCATGGTTCACTGTTTTGAACACATCAGCGGAGCACACCTGAATCCTGCTGTCACAGCCTCGCTGATGATCATCAGACAAACAGGAATCGTCAAGGGGCTGTTCTTTATTGCAGCTCAGTTCCTGGGTGCTTCCACTGCAGTTTTACTCCTCAAGGGGTAGGAACACAATCATCTGACTATTATCTCTGATTTATGACTTATTCTTTCTTTCATTTTTAAGTTTGAAAAAGTGTTTGCCCCCCCCCATTCTGTTGTTTTACAGTGTGCCACATTTAACATTTTAGTCATTTCAGCTAAAAATTTAAATAAAGGGGAAAAATGAATCGATACAGATTACAGTGCATAGAAGGTCAATTATGGAAGCACTGCAACAATTCTGAACTGGAGATGTGATGATTGTCAGACCTGCAAGGCAAGACAAGAAACTACATGTACATGTAATACCATTGGTCCTTGCTCTATGGTCCAGCTACCACATGTGCAGAAATGACCCTATCAGGTCAGCTGTAAGGGCAGGAGCCCAGAGCTCCTGCTGTGATTGGAGACAGATGGTGTTGGTGGAGCATAGAAGACACCTCCCAAACTGCATGGTGTCTGTGGGAACCAGCCCCTTGGTTTGGCCAGTTGAAAGGGAAATACTTGAGTGGTCATTAGCTGGTGTCAGGTGTACCAAAGAGCTACAAAGCTCTATGGGTGTACAGACAAAGGCACACTGCTGTAGTGTACAGAAAGTCTCAAAAACAAAAGATCTGACATAAGTTGTTCATGCAGATTGACTAGTTAGGCAATATTGTTGCATTTTCCACAAATGTATGTTTGTGTTTGTGCAGATATTAAAAAGTATGCCAAGTCACTTCCTGAGTTACCTGTTTCATTTTTTGTAGGCTGAAGCCAATAAGAATCACTTTGTTGTTTAACAAAGGAAATTGACGGGGGTGGGATATGAACCTGTCCCCTGTGGAAGAAAAATGCCTGACCAGCATTCTACCAACATGATAAACTTATAACTAGGTTATAATTGATGCAGCCTACAAAAACAGGAAAAAGTTGATTTTAGATAAATAATAAAAAAAAAATTGAGTGAAAAACTGCTTTTATTCAGCATGTTTCTAACCATTGTTATCTTTATGGTTTGGTACCTGTAAATAAATCCACTGGAAGTTCAAATTCCTTGCTAAGCAAACATGATCTTATCTCCTTTTTTTCTTGCACACGATGACCTCAAATTGAGAACGCATCATTTACATACAGGTGGAAATATTCAGGGTAGCGAAAAAACTGTGGTTGCCTTAGTGAAATAGTGTCACGTTTTTAGCTTTGGGAAAAACTAGTCATGTTGTCTGCACGGTCAGTAAAAGATCCGAACAAAGCCAAAGTGAACTGACATTGTGATTGAATGTATTTGGAAAGCAAACAATTTAGCAACTGGTAGTTGCTTTACTGTACATGAACATGGAGCTACAAAAGAATAATGTACAGTCATTTCGAGTCTGATCAGAAAAAAATATTCCCTGGCCTTGGAAAACGGTTTGCATAAAATTGAACATTACACCCTTTACACATGTACTGCTGTACTTAAAAATAAACACAGATGGTAGCATGCAACACTTTTTGGGATTCTTCAAAATGACAATATTGTATAATTTGTAAACAGGATCTACAAGTCAGGTTTTTAAAATAAAGCAAAAGGTATCTGCAATTTCTTTGTAATTTAAAAATGATAAACTAATGTAGGTCATACATGTACATATACATGTGGAGCAAACCTCATTTGTTCATGCACAGTGTACAAGGGCCCCAAAATAAGTATTTTGGATTCTACACCATGTACTATCAAGTCCTATTGAATCAGAATCACTCACTAAACTTCACCAATCAATCATGACCACAGTTGCTCAGTTAGTGCTCCACTTCCGTCACCGTTTGGTATGTGCAGCTCCTGTTATCTTCACAAACAACACCTCACCATTTCAAAAGCCCCTTTGAATATTTCCCTGGAGCAGCATATGACACTTTGTAATGCTGGAAGGCAGTAACATTACTGTTGGCAGCAATGCTGTCAGTTACCTATCAAGTCTTGCTGGGGCGAGATTTATCCGATGGCTGGTCTGATTCTTGGGTTGGGGCCCCCTGGGTTTTGTTATTTTTGCAGGAAGCATCTTAAAGGATGGGGTGACACTGGGTCACAAGTTGTTTTTCCCTCTGGGTGGTGGAGTGAACTGTAAAAATATTGTGCCTCTGTACATTGATTACCCTAATGGAAGCTCACTGTTTGTTAGCTTTAGTTTTTCTGGTTTAATCTTACTTTTGTAACTGTTTTATGTGCTGGTAATGAACACAAACCCTGCAGTTATTCTTGTATTAATACCCAATAGGCTAATGAAGATAATTTTCACCTTTTTAGAACATCCTCAGAATTGTGAACAAATATTCATTGGCATCACAGTTCACATGCCAGTGTGTACATAAAATAAAGCAAACAGAGTAATACTGTTTTCAGAACTTGTAGCTCCAGAACATTGTGAATAGTTTGTTGTGAAGTCCTGTAGCATACCGTAACTTAAATAAACCACAGAATCACGAATCAATTAGTAAATAGAAAAATGTTTGTTCATTTGCAAGTTCATGCATAAACACAAACAAACAAAGGTAATCCTGTGAGAGGTTTTACAGATCAGATTATGTGCATCACATTAGGCATATATCCTACATGTACATGTATGTTCCTTGGCGAAAAAGAAAAATACCAATCTTGCAATATTTGCACAACAAATTCCTGGCCTGTTTGGAATTTCCGCATCTATTTTACCAGTGGCAAGATTGATGGCTAGGTCACTACTAAGAGTCAGGCTCCTTTCATAGCCTTGTTAAACCACACAGGCCTTATAGCTGGCCTCACATAAATCTGCCACAGATTACGTACAGTGTGGCACCAAGGGTTATTAATTTAAAATCTTTGAGACTTTGCAAAATGTGAGCGCAAGTTGAACTGCAGACTGTGCAGCAGGGCTCAAATTTGTTCAAATCCACAAGACACAGGGCTAAATGTACGTGTACTTGCTTGAAAATTTTACGAGACTACTACTGAGATACATGTACATGTACAGCACATGCCAAGATGCATGACATGATAAATGATGACTTAATCTACATGTAGTCATTCTGTGTCTTGGTTCTGTTGCCAGGAGGTTATCAAGTATTTTATTGACTGGAATTCCTGGAATCCAAGGAGATCGTGAACCCTGATATTCTGAAAACTAGCAATATTTTCTTGGGGGAGGGGAGGTTGTGGAATCCCTAATGATACGAATTATGTTTTTAACAAAGTGAGATTTCACTTTTAGTTTATTTGATTTTAGTACAAAAATTTGTTTTTCTTATTCTGTATCCGTGCACGGTATTTTCCTTACCTGAACACATACAGTATAACAATGAAACTTCTATTACATGTACGTGTAATGACAGGTTTTAAACTGAAAGGGAATGGTCGCATCAACTTTCCTCTGGATTGAGTTGTGAGTCTTTGACCATTGAGATCTTAAGAACAAAAAAGGTGAAAGAATATTGTCATGTCTGGACATGAGGTTCCTTTCTTGCCTTGGGCTCCTGTAAACTCAAATATGACAGAACCAACAAGTCTATTGGGATGCCATAATCTCAACATCCCCAGTAATTGGGATGCCATAATTTCAACATCCCTAGTAATTGGGATGCCATAATTTCAACATCCCCAGTAATTGGGATGCCATAATTTCAACATCCCCAGTAGTTGGGATGCCATAATTTCAACATCCCCAGTAATTGGGATGCCATAATTTCAACATCCCCAGTAATCGGGATGCCGTAATTTCAACATCCCCCAGTAATTGGGATGCCGTAATTTCAACATCCCCAGTAGTTGGGATGCCGTAATTTCAACATCCCCAGTAATTGGGATGCCGTAATTTCAACATCCCCAGTAATTGGGATGCCGTAATTTCAACATCCCCAGTAACCCATCTTCGTCTTTCATTTGTTTGTCTCCCTAGGTTTCTTCCCATATCGATTCTTGGAAACATGGGCTACACTGTTGTCTCACCTCAAATCACCACGCATCAGGCTATGGGGCTGGAGTTTCTTATGACTTTCCTGTTTGTCTTCACTGTCGTCTCTTCTACCGAGGCAACTCGGTTTGCTTCCAAGCTGGTAGCCTTGCCAATTGGTGTGGCCTTCCTAGTCAATACATTATGGGGGGTAAGTTTTATCATAGGTATGCATTAGGTCTTTGATCTCTCTGGCCCCATGGTCACTATATTCAGTCTCCAGTTGTCAGGTTATGTGATTCAGGTGATAGCCAATCAAAGCCACACATTTGTTGGGTTGAAAATATTCATTCTTCTTCGATCTGAAGTAATCTTGAAAGTCTTATAACATGTACCTTTCAGATTTATAGGATGCTTGGATTTGTGCACATTAGCCTGAAAATATGATAGCCCCTGTCTTCATTATTTGGGGTAAACTTCCTTTGGATGGGATGTTAGGCCTCAGTGTACTTGATCACTCTATTAAAGAAACCAAGAAAATGTTCAGAAGGCTGTCTGGATTGCATTTGTGCCACTGTGGCTGTGACTTGCACCACTGGCTTCCTACAGTAAACAGCCAATGCCTTTGTGATTTGCACCACTGGCTTATTACCACAGTAAATAGCCAATGCCTTAATCAAAAATACCATACGTGTTTTAGATAGGACTGAAGGTTTCTTCAAATATTTGTAGCTAGCTGCCAGATGCGTTAGTGTACATTTGAACAAATTCACAATGAATTCACCCTTTCAAGTTAAAAATCAGCTGCATTACTTGGAAGTGTAACAATGGTAGTGTAACTAGCCTTCGGTTTTGGATGCTACGATATTAACCATTAAAAAAATCTTGCTTGGTTGTTTTTGCAGTATGAATTCACCGGTGCTAGCATGAATCCGGCCCGTACCATCAGTGCAGCAGTTGTCCAGGGTATTACAGATAATTGGCCTGTAATATTAGAGGCAAGTTGGGACATTTCTCTTTATTCCACAAATTTAAGAAGTTGAACATTTAGGAATTCATATTCCATCAAAGGAAACTGTGTAAATTTCTTGCACTTTATTTTGGATCAAGTTCTTTTTGAATCATAGAGAAGAGCTGGTCTGACAAATATACATGTACATGATGAAGCTTAACTTAATGTTTTTCTGTGTTGCAATAAACCACTGGTACTTGTCTATCTAACCTCCTCATAATCTATACCCTTGTATGTGTACGTAGTCTTAATACAGCAGACAATGATACATTACTGTGGTGTTATCGTGTACCAGTATGTACACTGTACATCCAAAAAATGAGTATTGTTAAAGTAAACTTATCCCCTTTTCTGAATTTTTTGTCCTTGCAATTTGAATAATAACTTGTATTCATTGGGAGCTGGGGCATTTTTGGCAGCCACCCTACTGTGTACAGAAACGTGAGCTTGTGCTGGGTCGTCTGCCTATTCTCAATAGCCAAACACCTTCCTATATAATTACATTCTGCTTGGATACACTTACCCTCAGCCAAGCGTGTTTGTTCCTCTGTGCATACGGGTAGGTTCGAACAACAACACCACCCCCCCTGCTTTAAAGGGAAAAGTACATCAACCTGACATTTACAAGCAATTTAGCTTGGTAGAATCTGTATTTCTCAAAATCCAATTAAGTGCATTTATTTTATTAAGCATATGAACCAGAAGCACTTAAACTCAAAGTGGCTGATTTTATTGTTTGCTCAAATGCAGTTATATATTGAACTATTTGTTAATCTAAAAAATTGTTTCTACTTGTTAAAACTTTCACTGTATAAGAATAATTGCCCACAGTTTGATATGAGTAACAAACACTTTTTATTGTCAAATTTAGTCATGTGTCTACATACATGTAAATGGCTGTAGATTACACACTTCATGGTAAAGCAAGACTGATGCTGGACTAAGCAAAATGACATTCAACAGACATCAACAAATTAGAGGATACAACCAAATGTGGCCAGAGTTCTGCCCTTTAGCCCTCTGCAGATGATTTTGTTTGCATTCAGTGATTTTAAGAATGATGCCCAGAAGTGCCTTGGTTATAGCACGGGCTAACAAGACGTTTTGTTGACTTGTTAGGTGTATCTGGCTGGGCCTGTTGCTGGGGGTGTGGTTGCTGCTCTCATCTACAAATTCATCTTTGACCCGTCCTTTGTCCCTGGGAGCATGAGGTCATTGCGTTCCAACTCCAACTTTGACTCTGAAGAGGATAGTATGATAGCAATGCAGTCCATGTCGCCTCATAGGAAGGAAGAGAGAGGAACAAGAGGATTGGTTTGAAAAGACACAGAAAAACCCTTAAAGGTGCAGTCAGGAGAACTTCCCGAAACTAAGACACTTTTGCCATTTGGAAGTTACTGCACTGATTTATTCAGTATTTGCAGGGAAAAGACTCAGGTTTGATTTTTTGTCAGGTTTTTACACCAACTACACGTTGGAAATGAGTGCACCGTAAGCAAGCTTGTATCATACATTAAATGTGATTTTTCTTTCTTTAAATACACATATGTGCAGTTTTAGGTGGTTACACAACTACATGTGCATGGTTTGGAATTACAAGAAGAATTTTAAAAGGCTTCTGATGTCTGCTGAAAGCTATAAAGAAGTTTGGATTGAAAGCTCAGTTGCAAACTTTTCACCGTTGTTCTAAATGAATGCAAATGGACGACATGTACATACTCTTTTATTGAGCATACACGTAGTTACTCATTACTCCTTTAACTCGTATTGCCCGAATCCAGGATTTTTGGCTAAACCTGCCTTAAAAGGATTGAAGGATGATTGTGGTAACATGCATATCTGTATTAAAATTCACAATCTGTGCTGATTGTGAGGAGAAATGGCACATGCACCTCCTTATTGTACATTATACATGTCTATGGAAATGACAATGTTGAGACAATCTCTTGACAAAAATGGTCCGTCATTTCAGCTCACACGACAATTTCTAGAAGTGTAAATGACAGTCAAGAGGTTTTTTTATTTTCATAGGACATGATGTATAACCTTGGCTTCCACACGAATAACTTGTGATAAATTTGTAAGAAATTATTGTATAGTTTCCTTGGAATTTGTGCTGATTTTGTTTGCTGAATTTGTTGAAGTGCTAGCACTTAAAATAAAGACAAAGCTTTTTACCACTCAGTATTTTATCACATGTATGAATGTAAAGCTGTCTTGACTTGAGGTAGTGTAGGAGACTGAACATAATTTGTAGTGTATTTTATACTGGTAATTATGTGATCATGAAGTAACCATTAGCCTTAGCTCTACCATTTCCCTTCAACACTCATTTTGTTGGATTTCTTCGGTATTTGTAGAGGTCAGCCACCTTTGGTTCTAACATGCTACTTCACTTTCATATCTCTGACAGTAATGGAAAGTGACTCTTTTTCTAAGGTTCTGAATGGGCAGTCGTAAAACATGCAGTATCCCCCAGAAAATTGTGTGCTGAAAACTTTTGCAGCATTAAGAAAATCTGCATGTCCCCTGGAGGCCTCTGTATGAGATTTTGTTCTAGAACTTACTGGTTTAGACTTCAAATTATATAAAACACTGGAAATGTAAGTAGTGAGTTGTCCCAAAAAAGTGCTCCTGTTTTTGTTATTTCACTGGAAATAAGTGATTCCAAAAGGAAATGTCAACGAACACATACACATGTAAGCTAACCGAAGTAAAGATTTTTATTCCTCACACACCTTTGAATATATAATTTGTTTCATTGATTTTATTTTATGTATAGATAACATTTTTAATACAGAATTTAATAACAAATTGCCGATACCCATGGAAGAAAGAACCAACGGTTGCAACGATTCCCATGTTGACAACTTCAACCGGGGTGGGTCATATTTTGGGCATTTGGAGTGTTTTTAAGAAGAGAACAAAAATGTTCTACAAATTTACCAGCGGGACGAAATCGACAACAAATTACTTGAACATGGAGTCCAAGGCATCAATATTCTCCCAAGAAAAGTTAAGTACATAAAAACAATGCAGTCCATGCATTGCTTCGGTAAATACAATATACACCTGTAAATATTTCAATGTAACATCATCTTTTATGCATGTACATGTAGTCACCAATTTCATCAACTGTAAATGTCCAATGCAAGTATTTTTATATGAGGTTTATTTTTAGTAAAGTTAGTGGAATGAGAGCTGATATTTCTAGAAATATATTGTAATCGTTTTTGTACAGCAGTATCTATTAAATGAAACTTGAAGAAATTGGTATCTTTTGTTCCCAAATAGCATTTGATTTTACCAGTTGAGTTATTTATCTCTGAAAAAATTGAACGTTAGCTCCAAGTAATGATATGTTTCACTTGTATGTACACATATAAATTTGTTCCAGACAAAATACAAGCTCAGCACTCGAAGGAAAAGCCCTCCAAATGCTATGCTTGAAACAATTTATTGGAAGTGAACCGTTCTTCAATTCATTTTTCCAGTTTAATGTTTTACTGGTAACACTGACTTAAAGGATTGATTAGGACCAGCACACAAGCTAAACCAAATTTCTGAATGAGTTTCAAAATTGAAATGTACTTAATTTCATTATGACAAGCCATGGTGCTGTGAACAAACTATAGATACACCACAAAGTAATCCAAATTCCTTTGACTGAACCATGAAAAAGATATTCTGTGTGTGATGGAAGTCCCAGTGTTGAAAGGTTTGCCAACAAAACAATGCGGGGACCTACAGCTAGTTCCTCTTTCACTGTTGAGTTGAACCTTGGCCATCAGACGTTTTGTAAGGAATGATTTCATTTTAGAAACAAAGTAAATGTACCGGTACTTAAATAAATTTCCATATACAGCCATTTGCAAGAGTTTTAAGGCCACTTGGCCTTCATTACATTGTCTCATTGACTGATTACTGAACATGTTTTCACAGAGGTGAATGACATCAGTGTAGTGCTGTCTACCCATGCGAATGACATTTTTTGCAAAGACAGGTCTTGTATGACAGTTTGTAAGGCAGCACGGGTGAAAAAAACCGTCTAAGCACTCAGAAATAAAGGAGGGCACACTAAATATTAGACTTCAATCATGGAAATGTAGTTAAATGGCTGTTTAATGAAAATTTGAAGGTTACACATTGAAACTGAACACAAGTTACCATGATTGATTGGTTTAAGTTTGGTTTTTCATCAGGTTAATGCATTTTCTATGGGTGGTCCTAAACTTTTGCAAATGATTGTATATAGAACAAACATCATGTGATGCCATATTCTCAGTTGGGATGCCACAAATGTCTTCTCTAGGCTGTAGCTTTTCAAAGCTACCTATTGTGAGGACGAAGCCTTTCTGCCCAATTGGGGACCGAGACCACAACACTTCGCGTGAGGATGTCGTAAGCAGCACGGAAATGGGGGTTGAAGAACACTGTGATGCATGCTGGGAAGAAAAAGGCCATGGAGAAGTTCTTGATGATGGCTCGCAGGAATGCTCTGCAGAAGTGGATGGAAAAATTGGAACATTTTCATTGCTCTGAACTGAGAAGTCAATCCACTCGTTCTCCAACTCTTTCAATTTGACAGCACAACTTAAAAGATACCACAAGCTGTACAAGGGGACTTTCCATTCATGTAAAGTGTTGGTTTGCCTAAAATGCCCCAGTTTGTAAAAGCAACTGATCAGGAAAATACAGATTTCAAACAATGAAAATTCATTCATTGTAAACCATGTAAGCATGTGATAATTGAAGGGTAGTGTACACCATTGGTAAAATCCCCTAAATCGGACTACCACATAATCCTGAAATATCTTACTTGAAAGTACATAACAGTCTCAATCAGTGAGTAAAACATTTCCATCCAGAATGTTGTAGTTTTCGAGAAAACAAAAGTTTTGTTCTCTTTTTTCACGATTGTCGGCCAACCATTGTATAAGGGTTAATTTCACTTTGCACATGACATTCCTTAACACGCGCCAATTTTCTTGTGTGTAGTTTGCAGATGTTGTGGGAGTCTCCATTAATGAATGGATAAATCTAAATGCAGATAAAAAAATATACCGACAGAAATTCACGAAATGCATTGTGAACTCAAATTATGGGAAACTGAGTGCAAGGTGTAAAGTAGGAAATAAATTGGATCAGAAAGGATTTCATTAACGTAAAACTTCGCAAATTTAAAATCACCCTTGAGCATAATGGTATGGTCCAAATATGGTGGCTATTTCCGAGCTGACTGGTGAAGGATTTTCGTCAACAAAAAGTATGTTTTCCACATGGTAAACGTCCTGTGTTTCAAAACATAATTTCCTCTTTGCTTATACATGTAATTATTAGTAAGTCAACTACAAATGGAGTTTTTAGACATTCACCGATGAATTAACTGACATGAAAGTGTGGTCACTAATGATTAAGCATGATCATGCACACGTGCATTATCATACAGGCCTACTCATTCAGTGTCACGGACACAAGTCAACTGCGTTCCTGGATGAAGTTTTTTCATGAATCCACAATGCTACAAAGGAGGCAAATTACTCCAATGTAAATTCACCTATTACTCCTGCTACAGGATGGGAACCGGGCATGACAGGCTCTCAAGGGAAAGAGAACCTGTCATGCCTGATTCCCATCCTGACCCCGCGGATGTTGTTTGCTTACTATGAATGCCCTGTAATTCATAGATTTTACACAACATAAATTACAAGATCTTCGATTTAAATGTTGAAAATGCTGTGCTGTTTTTCTCAATATTTCACAAAGCAGTTGACTTAAAGATGAAAAAAGTCTGTGGAATGTTAGTTTCAGTGAATGTTATACACCGTAATCAGCCAATCTTGTGAAATTATGACAAAAAAATCAATGGTGTACACTACCTTTAAGGGCATCTCTCAAATAATCAGTCAACCTTTCCTGGTCAACCATACTGCCCCACCCCCAAATTTTCTTTGCTCCTCCCCTTCCACTCACAGGAGACCATACTTACTGTAAGTATGTTAAATCCTCTGGACTAGTCACCAAGACTCTGTTCCCACCAAGGGTCTGGACACGATCACATGACACCACACGGAGACCCATACAATACTTGCCAGGGGTGGCTCCACCTACTCTGGTGCCCAGGCCATGCCGTAGGAAAAATGTCTAAAGGCACACAATTGAGAAAAACAACCAGGAAATAGTTTTAGAATGTTTTTCATAACATTGATACGAGTATAACAAATACATTTTTTCAAGCAGTGCAGAGGAGAGATTGTCTAAAAACACAGAATAACCTTGGGGTTAGGGTTTATTGATAAACACATGGTTAATGGACTAATACTTGCTTCATATGTGCAGACAACCACACGGTATATGAAGGCAAAGAGTAACATTTGCTGAAGGTCTTCAAATGTAGAATCTTCATCTATTTCTTCAATGAGAAATCTCATCATGAAACTACTAGGATCACTGAAACAAGAGAAAACATAATAATCTTGTTAGAGAAATAGAACAGAACTGACAAAAGCTACAGAAATTGACAATTACTTACATGTATCAAACCAGTCTCCACGAACACGTGTACTGGTAAGAACAAACATCTCAACCAAGCAGTGGTATTGTTTTCTTGTGCCAATAACATTTGTCTGTGCCTTTTTGACACGTTGGCTCCACCCCTTACATACAGTTCTTTACTTACTTACACAATTCCCATATATTCAATGATGAAGAGAGTAACGCCAAACTTCATGACAAACAGCAAGATGAAATCAATGATCTCTGCAAAGACGCGTCGGTAGAGAGATGGAAGGGTAAATTCACTGGCTGCAACAAGAAATAACAGGGACTGATGACATTTACCACTGTGGAAATGCTTAGCAATCTTACCAAACAAGTTCTAGATGAACCTCTATAATGAATGAAATACAACATTTATGTGCATACCTCTGTTATGCTAGGCCACACTCACTGGCTACAAATCAGTCTGGTTATTGTACTACATTGTACATGTACATGTACATGCATTTTTGTGCGTGGTGAAGCACCCAAGCTTACATTGAATTTTAAAGGTTGCAGGTTCATGGACTCTAGTCTTTTCTTTAGAATTATTAAAAATAATAATGCCTAAGTTTTTATGGAATCTAATAAAGAATGATTCCTTTTAATTCCTCTCTTTTCTGGAAGCTTATCAGGTTTTAATATCATCTTTATTTTACACTAAGACTGATAGAAAATAATACAAAAACAAATATTCATGAAAACCGTAAATGAGGGCAATACTTGTAGCACCTGTGAGTTGCGGAATTTGTGGCTGTGCAGGCTGCTGCTGTTGGACTGGAGTTGGCCTATTGTTCACTGCTGGTGGCTGAGGAAACGAAAATGGAACCTGCCCTGCGGCTGGAAACTGTCCATGTGGTTGCTGTCCCTGTGCATTTTGCTGATGTGGCAAGGAGGTGTGTCCAACAGCCCCACCTGCTGGGGGTGGAAGTCCATATGAAGCAGTGGGAAACTCAGGGGGCGTGGTTCCTTGAGGCACAGGTGGAATGGGGGAGCCAAAGAAGTAGGGCGCCATCATGACGGCATGTTGTGAGCAGTATTGCATCCATTGATACGTGCGATACTGCATCAACCACTTCGAAACAGCCTGTGTGTACTCCTTCGAACTTGTTTTGGGACTTTCGTCTCTGTTGGGAACTGTCTCTGTTTTTTCTTTGGCAGAGTTGTCCTCCACACCCTCAGGTCTCTTCGTCTTTCTCTTAACAGCTACAGGCTCTTTATTCTCCATTTTAGCAGGAAATTCTTACGCGTTTACTAGTGACACTGTGTCACAGCACTCGTTTTTTACCAAGCGAATGGTATTTAAATTGGTAACCAAACGAAAATCCTCATCCGATTTAGCAGCTTCTGTCGGATACCAATGTCCCAGCATGCAATTGGTTTCAAGATGGCAGCCACCATGCGTCAGTACTTGCTGTGTTTTGCCCAAGAACACGTCGAGTTCAGATTGGCCGTGAGTACTTAATTGAATTTGTTTGAGATGATTCGGTAGGCATTTTCGCGGTTCCGTCTTGGACCCTGAGCATAGTCCTTATTCTTTCTTCGCGTTGCGGGAAATAGGCCTACCCGCTGCTAGCTAGGACAGGAATCGCTTGGAATGACAGACTGGGTTGAGTTGTCGCGACGTCCACTGCACTTCCACTGGGAGCGCGGTGGACGTGGACGATTCCATAGTTGTAAGCGGGGAAAGAGCGTTCCATTGTGTTGATGAGCAGAATTGATTTTTCTTCTTCAGTACGTAGCAACAGATTCAATGAATCCATGTAATAGCCACGGGAGAATACAGAGTGACACACGGAGTTAATTTAAGTTCCTTTCCTTGGATCTGATAAACTCAAGAACCTGATACCCAAAAGAGCTGATTGACATTGTTGAGACTATTATCGTGATTGCATCACGTGTATCAGGAAGCCTGTTCCAATCTACAAGTTCAGGGCACAGAGAAATTCCTATGCGCTTCAGTTCTGCTGTGCGGCAAATCAAGTTGAGAACTATTTCCAGTGACTGTTCTACGTGGTTGACTGTTCTTATGGAACCATGCTTGACAATAAACTTCGGATAGCAGATGTACCCGTATACATTTGCTTCATCAAGATCAATCCAGCAACTTCACGAGGCTGTTTCAGGGTATCCCACCTAAGGTTGTGATTATTACTCCCCAACTATAGCATCAGCCCCAACTATCGTTGGACAGTAGGGTCCCCTATACCCAAAACCCATACCTTGCACCCACCCAAGGTGTTGGGGTCTTCTCTACCCGAAGCCACAATCCCTGCCCCCCCTTTGGCATCTCTGATCCACCACAGTATCCAACACCTCATGCTCCAGTGCACGTGTGACCAGTAATACAACCAGCGAATACCGTTTCAGGCCCCACCCCATCCGGATTGCCTTTATAAACCAACCTTCCACTTGAGTCTAGCACCCTCTCCAAAGGACAGCAAGAGTATCCTGACCGAAAAGTCAAGTCAACACTTATTGGTTCTTTTAATAACCATACATCTTCCAAGAGATTAAGTCCATGCTGTACCTGAAAGCCCATTGTACATCTCATAACTTCCACCATGCAAAGCTTCAAATCAACATGTATTGGAAATACATGTAGTTTGTTTTTTGTTCCTGTTGCACTCCATAGCTTTTTAGGCCAGTGCACCCGGAATGTCAAACGGTTACTTATTCAACGTTTGAATATGGAACAGTTACTTGTTCAATATTGAATGTCGAACGTTAAACGAGGAACTAACTTCACATCGGTCGTCCCAACTATAGTTTGGCCCGTCCCAACTAGAGTGCTACAGTTGGGCCGGCCCAACTACAGCAGAGAGGTCCTGTGTGCATGATGTGCCCAGCATGTGCCAAAGCCATATTGTTCACAAATGTCACGTCATCGGTCATACATGTAGGGCTAGATGAACAGATGAAGTGCCACATTTTAGATGAATTGTGTCTCAAGTGTGAGACACATTGACTTGGATAATGTTGAGACATTTCCCACAGACATTGGTCAACAATAGTTGGGCCAGCCCAACTGCAGCACTACAGTTGGGACTGTCCCAGCTATAGTTGGGACTTACGGTATAGTTGGGGCATAACATGGTCATATCGGTCACACTAGCCTCTCTACTATTTGCTAAAGTTGTTGTTAATAAAGCGTGCTGCACCTCATTGTACCATCTCGCGCTTATCGATGTACCGGTATTAAAGGGAAGGGATCGCATACTACTACTGAAGCCTACTCCAGGTGTGGATGAACAAGTACTAAATAAGCAGTTGTTTTCCCCAATTTTCGAGCACTGCTTTAAGCTCCTCCGCAACATACCTAGGACCTGGTTAGCCTTCTTGATCATATAATCTTAATGGTAATCTCATTTTAAATTTGTGGGAGAGGGAGACTCCCAGATACTGGTGACGATCCACCATTACCAGAGAATTATTATGCAGTTAATAACTATTGCAAATCTTCTTCCTTTTGTTTCCCATGTGCATGATGTAGCATTGCTTTATATTAAATTGCATTTGCCATGTAGAGGCCCATTCATGGAGTTTATCAATATCTTCATGAAGTGTGATGCAGTCAGCCCAGTTGTAGGTATTTCTATATAAAATGCAATCGTCAGCAAAAAGACAAATTTCTGACTGAAGATTGTCTGTGATATCGTTGATGTAAACCAAAAATCAAAAGGGGGCCGAGGACTGTGCCTTGAGGCACACCAGAGTCCACAGAATCCATATCAGAACTAGATCCATTGAACACCACTCTTCGTCTACGCATCTGAAGAAAGTTGACAATCTCCTTCAGTAGCTTTTCACGTATTCCATACATATGAAGCTCAGCTTTCAGACGCTCATGGGGGACAGTATCAAATGCTTTGGAGAAGTCAAATATGGCTATGTCCACTTGTTTACCAGCATTACTAATATGCAAATGAGTTAAAGTATATGTTTAAGAAGCTTGCATGAATCCAGGTTAAAGAAACTGGTCTATATTTTAAAGGAATGGCCTTAATGCCTTTCTTGTACAGGGCAGAAGCATTTGCTAATAACCAGTCTTCTGGTATTCAGGTCTTAACACCTTTTTAAGAATTTCCATCATGTCCATTACTGTTGATTCAGATGCTGTACCTATATCAGTATCTTCTTGTTTTGATACCAGGACTAGTAAAGTGGAAAGCTGTTTCTTCCTTTGTAACTTGAATGCTTGAATTCTCTTGCCATGCTTGTTTTCTTGGACAAGTTGGAGGCTTTGTTTGCGTGTTTTGCGTAAAATACTAAAATAGCATTTTGTTTCTCATTTTCAACATGTTTAAGGAACTGAGAGCCATTACATCCTTACTTGGAATCAAAGTAGACTTGAATGACCCAGAATATGACCAGATGGTAAGAAAATGAAGAACAATTTCTTTGCCATATACAGACATTATAGGAGTCAAGCCTACTGATAACTTTACAAAGTGATATTTGCCTTTTTGGTCGTGGATGGAATTTCAGTGAACATGCTCCTAGCAAATAGACAAACTTGTATGTTGAACAAAAGCCATATAGAGAACCAGTTCCAATTAATATAATGTGCATGACTGTTTACGTAGCTATTTGTTTCAACTTTTTGTAGCAAGATGGAAGATGCACAAGAAAAGGTTGGGCCCAGATTGTGAAGACATCATGAGATGAGCTTAGTTCAATTTCAAAGATTTGAGACTCTTACACTTCAGCGTAAACTTCTGTGATTTATTGATTATTTATTGAAAATCAAATGTAGCCATGACTTTTTTTTTTAGAATCCATTCCTGCTTCTCCGGTTACCCTCAAATTCTTGTGCCCACAAGATCATGGGTCGCACGATGCTGGGTCGATTTATGATTGAATTGTGGGGACATGGAAACTCATGGTCTGAACTCCATCAATCACTACAACTCTACCCCGATGAGAGAAAGGCACCATTCAGCCAAAATGCAGACACAAGTTTTTGCTTCAGGATGCGGACGGTCGGGAAAAAACTCGGGATGGAGGAGAAGTTGGCCATCATTGAAGACTTGGTAGATTTCCTGGACTTCAAAGGGAAAGTTGATCTGAAAAATCCTCAACAGGTGTTTCATATATATGCAGACTATGGTCAAACGCCAAACAAAATCCCAGATCAACCCTACAAAATCTACTTTGGTCGCTTGGTAAGTTGTTATTCTGAAAAATCCTCAACAGGTGTTTCATATATATGCAGACTATGGTCAAACGCCAAACAAAATCCCAGATCAACCATACAAAATCTACTTTGGTCGCTTGGTAAGTTGTTATTTTAGACTGAGCAATTGGCAAATCATCCATTATAAAATTATGTACTGTTTAGCCTTTGTTTGCAAATAACTGAAGAACCTACATGTAACCTGCTAGTTGACTGATGTTATCAATTACTTATACTGATATTTGATTGACAGATATCTGAAGGCCAGCGCCAGTTGGAACAGCTGTACTCAGTCAAAAAGCGTCACTTCATTGGAAACACCAGCATGGATGCTACCCTCTCCCTTCTCATGGCCAACCAGGCTCAGGTCAGGCCGGGGATGGTGACCTTTGACCCTTTTGTGGGAACGGGGAGTCTCCTGGTAGCTGCTGCCCACTTTGGCAGCTATGTGCTGGGCGGAGACATCAATATCAACATTATCCATGGTCGTGGCAAGACCAGCCGGAAAGGTGTTGGACAGTACAGAGGTAATGCTGCACTCCTTGAAGTCGAATTATTGTTTTATGGCCTCTGTGATAGACATTTGAGGGCGCTGTAGGGATTTTTCAGAACTTGTCTTCATCTCCATCTTTGGCTTCATCTCAAGCTTCCTAATCAGTTTTAAATGTTAACAGCTTGAATTGAATAATTCCTTGGCCTTGGGTTAGAAAATCTGGAAGTTTCTGTAGCTGAAATGTGAGTTTCATTGAGCTTCAGAGTTGCAACGTGAAGAACTAAAAATATCAAACTAAAACCTGGAACTGCCAAGATTTGGAAAAACTCCATGTTGTCCCTTTGCACAGGCCAATAAAAGCACCATCCGGCTAATTGAGCTGGAGTCCCCTGTAAGCCTAGTGACCTGGCTGGTGATTGGGTCTCTGATTGAGTCCAACTAACTTAGTCTTGTGTTCCTACATGTTTTTGTTTTTCAGGGAAGGATGAGAATATTCGAGCTAACTTGAGACAATATGGCTTAGAGCATCTTTACTTGGATGTCCTTGTTTCTGACTTCTCCTGCCAAGTTTGGAGGGTACAGCCACTCTTTGATGCCATCATCACTGATCGTACGTCTGTTGTTTTGGGGAGAATTTGTCTTTTCCTGGAGAGTTTTTGTCTCTGATGTTTCTCATGGTCCTACTTTGTGCCTGTTCTGAAAATTTGAATGCTTTCCACTTGTGTTTTTAAGAGTAATGTTGAAAGACATCTTTTCACTAGAAATGCTTTCATTTTCCACAATTTTCCACAGCTCCCTATGGAATCCGCGAGTCTACCAGGAAGATTGGGGGTTCCAAGGAACTGACAGTAAACGAAGAGCAGTAAGTCTAATCCTTTAGTTGCTATGATCGATAAGATGTTCTATTGTGTGATGTATGCGTAATCTTGGTTGTACTTCTGTCATCTTGTCATTTTATCATAATCATTTAGATTTGGAACCAGTTGTCTTGTCACAAATATTTTTGGGGATTTATTTAAGGGAAGCACAACACATTCCTCCAACGACAGCCTATCACCTGTCGGACATCTTCACAGATCTCCTGAATTTCTCAGCCCGATTTCTGCGATTACATGGCAGGCTTGTCTATTGGCTCCCAGTGTGTCGAGCAGAGTAAGTTCAGGAAGCCAATAAGTTTTCTTTACTTCTTGACAGATTTGTTGATACATGTATTTCGAGTGTTACTAAATTTTTTCTCTCATGCAAACTTTTATGCAAAAATGGTAATAACTCAATTATATTAGCATTCAACCAATTTCCACCAATACTCTGGCTTTAGTGTATTAAAAGAGATAATTTGACACTTTGAGGAGAGAAAGATGATTTAAGTATTTAGTTCTCTTCAAAATGGTCTGAGAACCTCTAAACTGTATTTTTTGCCAACAAATCTGTCACCACCTACAATTTTCCCAAATCTTTGACATTTTAAATCCCACGTCAGCCCAAATTTTTATTATAATACATGTATCCTCAGATACACTGAAGATCAGATACCTCATCACCCCTGCCTGTCTCTAGTGGCTAATAGTGAACAACCTCTGAGCACTACGATAGGCAGACGACTCGTCACCATGGAGAAGACGCGACATATGGAGGTAGACAGCTTCCATTTTTGGTGGAGGGGATCATGGGAGCTTCCATTTGTCACAGGAGGAATGATTAAGACCATGTCTGAATGTTGTATCTAGAGCTAGGCCATTGTTTGTCACTGATTTCATGGACATGTAGTTTTGGAGTTGGAAAGTAAACACAAATGAAACGGTGACTGAGGGTGCAGCTCAGTAAACCTTGTTTACAAGCCATAACGATGCACACCAAGGTTTGCTTCACTCTCAAACACATATCCACTATTCAGGCAAAACTAGTTTTTAGTTAAATATGCAAATAAAATCTAATCTTTATTGTTGTGTGAGACCAAATGATTTTGACCAGCTCGTGAATGTGCAGAGAGGTGTTTTTCCTAGTTTGCCTACAAAGTGTTGAGCTCAATGTGGTCATTATTCTGCATTTTGAAGCATTTTTTAAAGAATTTAACTTGTTCTCTTTTGTTTTCTGTCCAGGGTCTAGAGGGTGATTCTCCTAGGGCTGAAATCAGGGACGACTGTTACCGAGACCACAATGCTATCAGGGAAAAGGTGTTTGGACAGAATGCTAAGGACTTGAAGATGAAAGTAATGAGTAAGACCGAATCAAGGTGACCAATCAGAGTGGGAGGACAGTTGGATGCAGGATACCAGCAGCAGTCAATCAGTAATATGTGAGAATTATGCAGTGACCAGTGACAACAGTGACCATCACACACGGGACAATAGGCGCCATTTGTGGGGACCCAATTTCAGTCATATTCCCCAACGAAGTCTATTTATTTGAAAACATTAAATTCAAAGAACCAGACCATATTTTACGATTTCATTCCGACCTCCAAAATCACCTAGTACCATCTTATTGAGGGTTTCAAATTTATACTATACATTCAGGAAACCATGAAAGGG